ATTTTTCTATGATACAACATTTAAACTTGGAGATTTCTATGTGTCGCCGCTAGTGTTCCGTAACATAATTTTTGAAGACCGCCCAATCATGCCAGTAGCATTTCTTATACATGGAAGGAAGAAAGAAAAAATGCATTCAAAATTTTTCGAATTTGTGTCATCAGTGTTTCCGAAGCTAAACAGAAAGTGTGTGCCATTTATTACAGATCGTGAACCAGGATTAGTGAATGCAATAGAAAAGAATTTTCCGAATAGCGATGTTATAATGTGTTGGAACCATTTGATAACCGATGCCAAATTTAATTTACATAAGATGGGTGCCGATCAGGAAAACATTGCGTTTTATCTATCGAACATAAGAGAATTACTGCGTTGTGATAGTGTTGAAGAATACAAGGAGAAAAAACAATTGCTTATGGTAAAGTGGTCAAAACCGATTGTTTCATATTTCAACAAAATGGAAAAGGATATATTATTTCATTGTGGGAAGTGGATAATTAACAAGTACGAAAATCTTTATGATCCGTTTTCTGGTGTTACCAACAATGCGTGTGAAAGCATGAATGCCGTTATCAAACGATTAAACAAATATAAAGAGCTTCCCGTTGATTGCTTCGTTTTAAGCATGTATTACCTTCAAGTATACTACATAACAGAAATTCAGAGAGGATTAGCCGGTGTAGGAAATTACAATTTGAGACATGAATTCAGACACGCCCGCATTCCAAAAGATGAAATTTGTATACCGAAACGTGTGATTAAACCTGATGATATTGTGAAACATGTGATGTCCGAAATAGATTCTGTGCGAGAAGAATGCGTTAAGGAATATACTGAAAATACATCAACAACTGTGCCGTTAAATCAAGATTCAAATTCTGTGCCGTTAAGTGAAGATTCAAAGTGTGTGCCGTTAATTGAAGATATCGAAAGTAATGAACTACAAAGTGTGGTTTGTGATAGTGAACAATGTACTAAAAACAGTGAAGAAATAACAACCGAAATTCCGAAAGTTGTGTCAATTATTGATAAGAATCTGTCGCAAAAATCGTTAGCCCGTCTTACAGTAGAAAACGACAATGTAACATTTGTGCAACAGCAGAAGGCATTTATGGTGAAGGGAACTCAAGGAAACATATATGCTGTAACCTTACTACCGAAAGAAACATGTCAGTGTCCATCGACAACACAGTGTTACCATATATTAGCTGCAAAAATTAGGTGATGAAACCGATAATAAACCGAGAGTTGTTAATTTAAGACTACTATCCAAGAGAAATTTGAAAAGGAACGACAAAAAATCGGGAAGAAAGAAACCACGTGCGAATGATTATGATAACACCGAAGTTTTACCAGCGCCGGATTCAGAAATAGTGGAAAATATCGATATGCCAGAAACACCAGGAAAACAATCGTCCACAACGGAAACACCTAAATCGAAGAAAAAAAATAAATTCAAATGTAAGGAACAGGATATGAATACTTGTGATACACCTAAACAAGGAAAGAAATTGCGATTTTCGGAGGATGAGGATGAAATACAGCTTATATCGCCGTCCGTGTCACCGAAGAGTACCTGCCGACTTCCGATGAAAAAGCGTAAATTAACAACAGACGCTAAAAGTATAAACCATACACCTTGGGTTGCAAGTTTAAATACAGAACACAAACTTATGTTGGAGAATAATTCATGGCTATGTTCCGAAATTATAAATGTGTGCATGAATATGCTAGCGAAACAATTTCCAATTATATCTGGATTTCAATCAACAGGTTTAGCGCCTCTTTTTGATGAAGATAAACAGTGTTGGACAGAAAATTTCGGGACATTCACCAGTCAAGATACACCATGTGTGCAAATTCACCATACCGGAAAATCTCATTGGATTACATCTCTTCAGACTAAAAAGGATAGTGCCGTTTATGTGTTAGATAGTTACAGTAAAGATTTCAGATTAACACCATCGACAGAAATTCAGTTATCAGCTATTTATTCTCATGGAAAAAAGAACTTGCTTGTTAAATTACCTGATGTTCAACAACAAACAAATGGATATGACTGTGGTGTTTATGCTATTGCCAACATGGTGGAATATTGTCTTAAAGAAAAACTCAACACTCAAAGACGTACGAAGTTTATTGAGAAATACATGCGACCACATTTAATATCGTGTTTGGAAAAAGGACATTTTACACCATTTCCTCAAAATACAACATCAAGTACAGACTTTGTTAGGATTTTTGCCAGAAGAATTGAGTGTAGTTGTCAGTGTGGTAAACCAGATGTTTTTGAGAACATGATTGGATGTGAAGCGAAAAGAGGACGGATCAGCTGTACTAAGTGGGTTCATCAGACATGTTCAGGAGTTTCAGAAGATTGGTACTGTGATGAACATCGCGATGCTTGAACATTGTATTGTATTGTATTGTATTGTATTGTATTGTATTGTATTGTATTGTATTGTATTGTATTGTATTGTATTGTATTGTATTGTATTGTATTGTATTGTATTGTATTGTATTGTATTGTATTGTATTGTATTGTATTGTATTGTATTGTATTGTATTGTATTGTATTGTATTGTATTGTATTGTATTGTATTGTATTGTATTGTATTGTATTGTATTGTATTGTATTGTATTGTATTGTATTGTATTGTATTGTATTGTATTGTATTGATTGTATTGTATTGTATTGTATTGTATTGTATTGTATTGTATTGTATTGTATTGTATTGTATTGTATTGTATTGTATTGTATTGTATTGTATTGTATTGTATTGTATTTTGTATCATCATAGATATAATAGCTATTATATCTATGGTATCATATTGTATTATATTGTATTGTGTTAACTCCTATATATTAGATATGAACGTTTTTCACTGTGGTAGGTAATCGTGACTAAATTGTTCTTTTCCATTTATCTTTATTGAACTCAATTTAATTGAATGTCTTCTTTTTTTCTGTTAGTGAAAATTGTGTGTATTAATTTATTTTATTTCTTTGTGATTCTAACATAATTGTAATTTATATGCTTGTATATACATCGTTTTTAAACAATATGAATCTCATTTCCTGCCTTTATATGACATGTATAATCACTCAATAACTAGATAAACAAAAAATAAATAATCAGATAGGAAAGAAAACATTCCAATTTGTGATTATAGTAATTAATATAGGTGTGATTTTATTTTAATGGTTCATATCACCTTCCTTTGCGTTTACTTTTATACAGTTTTTTTTTATTTAATTGTTACATCAAGAAGAAAAAACCTTTCCATTTACTTAGTTATTAAAATCATTAATGTAGGTAACTAATTACATTTCACTTTTATAATTATTTAATTGGGTTTAATAATTCAATAATTAGTTTCATTAGTCACACTTATTAATCAAATCAAATGAAGTAGAGTTGTGATGAGGGGTAAACAATACTCACAGTCAGCAACTTGTACTCATATTTCCCCTATCTTTTCATTTAACAAAATTTATTTGCTTTGGATGTTGTGTTTTATGGATAAGATAAATATAAATTCAATGACAATATAAGGTAAGAACTAAAAACGTTTTTGTTCGTGTATTAAGTTTAATAAATTGAAGGTGGTTAGGTCAAGTTTTTATTTCGTATGAAATATTGTTTTCCAATTACTTTATAAAAAGTATTAAAAAGAAAACGTTATAATTTGACTTGGTTTCAAATAAGAACTCAATCATACCAACAATGTTACAAGTATTAGCACTTTTATATCGGTCAGGACATTAGTCACGACAAAGTCGATGTTGGTCAGGTCAAGTTTTTTTACCCTCAAAGTATTTTTTTTCCAATTCTTTTCAAATAAGTATTAAATCAATATAACTTTCTTGTCTGGTGTCAAATTTGAAGTCAATCCTTCCAAAGAAAAAAAGGAAATTAGCAGTTTTATATCGGTCCGGACATTAATCGCGGCAAAGTCGTAGTTGGTCGGGTCAAGTTTTCTAACTCTAAAAATTATTTTTTTTGCATTTTTTTCTTATATTTTTGGATTAAATGTTTTAATCTTCCTTGATATCGAATTTGAAGTCTATCCTGTGAATAATAAAAAAGTATTAAGCCGTTTCATATCGGTCAGGACATTAGTGATTTCAAAGTCGAAGTTGGTCAGGTCAAGTTTTCTAACTCTTAAAAATATTTTTTTAAATTTTTTTTCTTTTATTTAATAAATTTATGTTGTCATCTTGCTTGGTTCCAAATTTAAAGTAAATCCTTTAAATAATGAAAACGTAATTAGCATTTTCATATCCGTCAGGACTTTGTCAGGACATTAGTGTAACCCGACCTACATGTACATGTATGGTTGATAACATCTATGTCATTTGGTCTCTGGTGGGTAGCTGTCTCATTACTACCATAAAATCTCACAATAAAAACAATACAACCATTTAGACAACAGGAACATCAAGATATATTTTAGAAAACAAAGCAGGAAATTGCTTAATAATTAAAGGATTCTGCATGAGGACTACATTATGCGTAACAATCTCTATAAACAAACTGGCCCATATTTTCTTTATTGTATAAAGCTTAAGTGATTTCTTTTTTATATCTTAATCCATGAACTTTGGATTTTAGTGTATATATTCATAGTTTTACTAAAAACTTTTATGTGTGTGACAAACTTTTTTATAACCATTATAATTCCAATGAGAAGGTGTTCCATGATTGGAAGTTAATACGTATAGAAGAAGTACAAATGAAAGAAGTTATTCGAAGAATTAATATCTCATATCATAGCTAGGTAGTACATTTCTGTATTTGTATTCCCTTTTCTTTGATGTCACATTCAGAAAAAGATGTTAATAAAGTCAACATCAAAAATTGTGATGACAGACGATGAGCATGATGAGCAAAACAAGTAGACAGGATGTTTCACTTCCGCGCAGAACAATGAGTTAAATACAACATTCGGGACTCCCAGTCAGCTGTATTTTTAATATTTAAACACTATTCATTTACCGTATGATTCAGACATTTCCAAACTACGACTTGACGCATTAAATTGACCTGGTAAGGCTTGAAAAGGATTCTATTTTCAGTGTTGACAGCTGATATCATGAAATCTCGTTTCTTTTTTTGGCGAGACCAGGACTAAGTTTTGATACAAATACGGAAAGAACCTCATTAATATCCGAAAACAGACCCTTTCAGTTAGTACTTTTTTTACGGCACAATGTTTTAATAATCAAACACCGTAAGTGCCCACTCTTTTACCAAAAGTTGTTTGTGTCAAATTGACATTTTTTCCGTTTTTTTGACTGCTTTTTTATGTAAACAGGCTTCTAAATTTACACATGTCATACACCTGAGAGTCACTTTAAAATGTCTCAGTATATCCCATGTCCCTGCAACTAAGGATTTTTAAAGTTGGTATAGTTATTATTGCTATAAAAATCCATGCTGCGTAAGTTTAGATTGTATAAACATAATGATTTTTTGTGAGCTTTTTTACGGCTGATTATAAAAACGTGAACAAAAAAATAAAACATATATAACTGAATACAGAGACATATAGTATTATATGTCTCTGCTGAATACAACTATAAATGATCAATCAAAACAAACAGATTTCTAGTAATCTTGAATAAAAATGAGATATAACTGTCAGACAATCAATACATCAGCCCATATGGCAAACGTCTCCTTAGTCAGCTGTCTGGGACACCCAGTGACAGCCGCGAGACTCAGCAGCGGTAAAATCGAATCGCTTAAAAAGTAAGCACTATATTAATAGCGGATAGCAAAGCAATTCCCATATTAAACTACATTGGTCTATGTGCATATCAAACAAAAGACACTCTCAAACATTGTAGACAAGAATATACTTCATGACAAAAATCTCTATTTTGTTGATCTTGTATTACTGATCTTTTAGTCTGTTTAGTTTCTCTCTATCTTCTTTAGTTTTTGATCAAAACACAAAAGAGGGTAAACAAAATCCTCATTTAAGGGCAATCACTCCTATGAAGAGTGACAGTCTACTAACTATATCGGAAAAATTTGACTTTTAAATAGATCTTGCCTTGCTGATCATTTTTGTGATTTAAAGTGTTTATTTACCTATTATAATTTAAATCATATAAGGCATAACGGAAAAAAGATGTTTCTCTCTAAATATTATAGTCTTATAGCTTGCTGTTCGGTGTGAGCCAAGGCTCCGTGTTGAAGACCGTACTTTGACCTATAATGGTTTATTCTTATAACTTTTGACTTGGATGGAGATTTGTCTCATTGGCATTCATACCACATCTTCTTATATCTATTCATTATAATAGGCAAAAATGAAAAAAAAAAAATGGTAAAATTTGTCATTTATGGGCAATAACTTCTATAAGAATTTGTCTAACAGTTTTGACGTATATGGGCAATTGGTAGAGCTCATTATTCTGAACATTTTTGCTCCTTTCAGATTTTCTCTATTTATAACGATTCAAAATTTTTTTTTTGCATTTTTTGTTATTTCAAAAATCATATTTTCACCCAAAAATTCAAAATTCGATATTAGAACTTAAAACCCTCAATCAACACAATAAGATTCCTTATCTCGTGCAGTTTGAATTCGGGATGGCTCTACTGGCAAAAATCAACAACAAAAAAAAAAGATCGAAAACAAAACAAAAACAACAAGACCGTAAAGAAAAAAGAAAAAAAAAATCACAGTTCACTGAAAAAAGGGAACAACCAAAAGCATTGTCCTTTTCTTCTTATCAGAGTCACAGCCGGAGGCCTTCAACATTCACTGCAAATTCGGGATGGCCCTACTGGTACTGGCTTGAGCAGAATTACTTGTTACATGTCTATCCTGCTACACCATTGCATTGAAGAACAGAGATGTAGATATGCATAGGATTTTGTAAACATGATACATGATGTTAAGATGTCGCAAATGATGTTGTTGTTATCTTTGAAGTATATTGAACAGATAACGCTAGTTTGATGCCCCCCCCCCCCAAAAAAAACCCCAAAAAACAGAAAAAAAACCCAAAAAAACAGAAAAAAAACCCAAAACAACAGAAAGACCAAATAGAAAAGAAAAAAAAAAAAACCAACAGAATGACCGAAAAGAAAAACAGAAAAAAACAAGAAAAAAACAAGCAAAAAAAAAAGGGGGAATAACCAAATGCATTGAAACCCCGACATATTTGCACAACTAAAAGGAGGCTAAATTAATGAATCCGAACTATCAAGAACATAAACTTTCCATAATGCAGCATTATTTCTAGTTGGTCTTGTCATTCTATCCAGAGGCGATTTAGGTAAATGTTTTTTCTTATGGACAAACACTTTTTTTTTTGACTGCAATACATACAGGAACACGAATTTTTATTGAAGGTCAATGTATTTATTTTCCCCTTAATTTTGATAGGAAACAATTTCACTTCCTTTCTGAAGGACTCTGAACTTATATTTTTTTCAGCAAATTTAGAATCAAACAATTTATTTTTAAAAAATCCATGCCACCACCAATGAACCACGACAATGAAGCAGATGAACTCTGCCAGACAGATATGTACACCTTGTAATAATTCCACACACCTAATATAGTTAAGCTAATGAGTGTAGTATATGAGAAACGGACTTAAACATGGATAGATAACATTGACCACTGAAACATAAAAATGAGGTCAAGGTCGGATAAAACCTGCCTGGCAGACATGTACACCTTGCAATGATTCCATACACCAGATATAGTTGACCTACTATACTTATAGTATCTGAGATACGGACTTGCCCACGAAAACTCGTTAAATGACTCGTTGTCATAATAGTGAAAAGTTTGTCTTGTAAGACGGGTCGGGGTGAGCCATAACAAAAGACTTTCATCATTCTCAACTAAACCTGCGAAATGTTCTGCAGTCCACTAAATTAATAAGCCATCTACATTCTTTAAGAAATTACTTTAAGGTTTCCACGTTATTTGAATGTATGATGTTCTTAGAAGCAGGTCCTCACTTTTTTTTTAAACCAATTCAAGTTTCGATCATACAAGTACTGAATTACGTGTAGGAGCAAAATAATGTTTATGTTGTTGAGACTTAATTTCTATTTTTAATGAAGAGAAAAGCTGTTGTTTTATGTATTTGTTTTTAGGGAATTTGATATTTATTGAAGATCTCATAGATGGACACTGTCTTCATTTGAATACATCTAGGTGTATTTGAGGGTTTTATGTAGTTGGCTTGCTGTCTCATTGAGAAATAAAATCATCTTTTTTTAGTTCATACATATGTATATATTATTTCTTTATATTTTTGTGTGTTTGTGCGTGCATACGTCCATGTGTGTCATTGAGTTTCTGTCTCATCGATATACTAGTACCCTACATCTCCTTCTATTCACATAATTTTCAAAAGTTTACAAGTATGCAGTATGGGTTTTGCTCATTGTTGAAGGCCGTACGGTTACCGATAGTTGTTAAATTCTACGTCATGTGGTTTCTGATAGAGAGTTATCTCATCGGCAATCATACCACATCTTTTTATTTTTCTAGTATTTTGTTTTCTTCAACCTTCACGATTAGTCGACTTTGACGTTGTCAGCCGTTGCGCATGCTTAGTATTTAGAGCCGACATGGGTAGTCTGTGACGTCAGAGGAACCCATTGGCAACATAGACGGCGCCATCATAAGTATATGGTTTAGAATGCTTGTCTGCTAGCAATTTCATCGAAAATTGGAAAAAACCCTGTATCGTCAAAAACAACAATCATCAACATGCCTGTGGTTGCTTGGTTACCGAGCCTTGTTGCAGTTATACTGGTCAAGCATTGGACTTTAAACAATCCAGATAATTAACTTGAGTAAGCATTTGAAATTTTTTGGCTTAGATAAAACTGTATTAAATATTCATCGAATAATTTTCATAATATGTAATCTATAATATTTATAAGTATTTTATTTTGCGTTATAGCAAATATAGTTTTGTTTCCTTTTGATTTCTGCTATTATCGACAATAAATGGCAGGTAAATTACTATATAAAGCCTGGATATTTTATTAAATAAAATATCGTTAGGTAGCTGCCATTTGATTTTTATGGGGGGGGGGGGGGGGGGGCTAGGATGAAAAATTTTGTCCTGCATTTTTTTTAGTTGAAATCACTGTCCTGCCTTTTTATTTTTCACTCTATTCGGTCCTGCCTTTTTTTTTTTAGTTTATCCTGACTTTTTTTTACATAAATTGTCATCCTGCCTTTTTTTTTTGCAAAGTGTCTCATCCTGCCCTTTTTTTTTACTCAAAACTCCTGTACTGCCTATTTTTTTCAAAGGGCAAGGTACGATAAGGCTCGTTTTTGGCCCCCTATTTTCTCATTTTTTAAGTTTTGTTTTGGAAAGCTACTTTTCACGTTACAATATTCCCTTAGGTTTGAAGTTTGTTTGGATGAACTTCCAAACCATTAATTGCAGAAAATGGGTGAGGTGAGAGGGGTAAAAGGGCATCAAAAACGCCAAAAGAAGGAAAAATTACTATTTTTGGCCATTGTTTCTAAAAATTTAGTAGCGTGCGCCTACGTGACCCGGAGAAAATTATTGCGATTTAGCGATTTAGACAGCAAAAACAGTTTTCATGACATTGGAATAAAAAAATTCCTGGGTCACGTTGGCGCAGGCACTAAAAAACAAAAAATTCGTTGTACGGAACACCTGCAAAGTGAATAATAATTACAATATTTGAATAATAACAGAAAGTTTACCCCCCCTCACCTCACCCAGTTGCTAAAATTAGTGGTTTTGAAGTTCATCCAAACAAACTTCAAACCTCAGGGAATATTTTAACATAATAAGTAGCTTTCCAAAACAGAATTTGAAAAATGAGAAAAAAGGGGGGCCAAGAACAGGCCTTATCGTACCTTGTCCTTTCATCCTAGCCCCCCCCCCCATAAAAATCAAATGGTAGCTCCCTTATTTGAACATTGCAATTATTTATCTAGAAATTCGATAAGCAGAAATATACTCATCATTAATCACATAGTCAAACCATAAAAAAGTGTCAAAGTGTCCCATATAATGCGATGACGGGTTTATCGCCCTTGTTGGTGTAACGATTTGTTTTCAGATTGGGTTATCTCCCTTAAACCTGAT